ATACATATGTTTATATGCACGTATATATATACATAATTTGTGTACCTATGTAGATGTACATATATATATATATATATTTATGTATATATAAGGTGAAACACTTACATTTGTGTACCTATACATATATGCACCTATGTATATATTCATGTACTTTTATAATGTTTATTGTTTATTGTGCCTGCATATTAATTTATTTGTTTGGTTTTGTGATTGTTTGTATAAATTTTTATATAGTTTAATTCTCATTAGCAAAATGACTTACAAAGTCTTCCATTTTAAATTACTAAATTTGATATATAGAAATAAAAATTCCTATTTTTAATGCCTTATTGATGATTAAATTAGGAATTTTAGGAAAAAATTTGAAAATAATAAAAGTGGGCAGGGGTATTTCATATGATTGATTATGGGTTTGAAAGTTAGGGACTAAAACTAGATTTATAAAAGCATCCATGTTATAATGAAAAAATAATCTTCTTTAGGTCCTTAAGTCTAAATGCATGGAAAAATTAGTATCTGGTCCCTAGTTATCAATCTTCATTGACTGAGACTTTATTAGTTTTCAAATTTTGATTGAAGTCCCTAACATTAATGTGATAATGAATTTACATGTTAATTACATAATTTTTTAAAATAAAAATTAGCAATTGATTTAGGGTTTTAATACTCACACCTCTATTAAACTCCTAATTAATTTTCGATTCAAACATTTTCAAAATAATAATAATAATAAATTAGAATAAGTTTGTACCCATTAGTTTTTTTTTTTTAATAAAAAAGATTCTCAATTTTTTAATCTTAAATGTACCCATTCACATAATTTTCAATTTTTTTAATCTTAAATGTACTATTCTTAAATATACCAATTTGTTATATGTAAAATGTACCCAATTTTTCGATATAAAATCCATTCAAATTTTTTTAATCTATTTTTTAAAATTATATGGGTACATTCTTTTTCGTTGATTTGAGAATGTATCTATGTCAAGTTTAATCGAAGAAATTTACTAAAGCCTAATATCTTTTTTTTTTCTTGTGGTTTTTGAAGAATGTACCCATGTTTTGGTACAATAATTTTATTTATTTTTGGTTAATTTGATGAATGTACCTATATATATATGTATGTGTATACACACACAATATAATAGAGAGTATAATTTATATTTTATTATTTTTAGTCCCACAAATTATGGGTTTTATTTAAAATCTCATTAATATAAACAAATGCATATTTCAATTTTTAATTTAAAAACTATAGTAACTTACATTATTACATTAATATTAGAGACTTCGATAAAAAACTAAAAATAGACAAGGTTTCAATAAAAGAATATTGATAGCTAGGAACCGCATTCAAAGTATCCTTTTATAAATCCTAGATAAAAATTCATATTTTATGACTCATGAAAATAGAATTAACAAATAATATATGTTACGTACAATATAAGTAAATTAAATGAATGTTGAATGAAAATAGGGATAAATGAATGTACAATATAATTCTTGATGAAGGTAAACTTGGATAAATTTGGATTCTAGGCCTCGTTTGATATTTAGGATTGGCTAATTAGTTTGGACAATCCATCTCATTGAATGTTGATCGAAAATAGGGATGCCAACTTGTATATTTTGTTAAATGAAGGTAGAAGATGGAAAAATCATGAAGAAAATTTATCCTTCAAAATCCTCACGAAAATGGTAGAATTGAGAGGGCCAAATTTTCTTCATGATTTTTCCATCTTCGACCTAGTAGGCGGACGTGGTTGGGTTTGAGAAGATGAGTTTTTGGAAGAAAATATTTAAGGGATAAATTTGGGATTTTCTGGATCAAATATTTTAGTTTGGTGTATTAATTTATTTAAAAATTGGGTGCCAATAAAGGCACCTGAAAAATATAGTTAGCAAATAAATTATTGGACCAAAATACTTTATGGAACCGTTGAATACATGGTAATATTGTCATTTGCCAAGGTGGAAGGAATTAGTTGTGATGTATCTAGTATTCCAATAAAATTGATATTGAGGAGGGAGTAATTGTTGGAATCAAATTTGTGCACCGGCATGGATGGTAGAGGTACAAATTCGAGTAACATTTAAAACAAAAAAAACTGTGAGCAAGCCTAAGACAGGGCTAGGTGTGTGTGCCAGCCAAAGGCTCTCTGACGATCAGGTTAGTAAGCAAGTATAAGACTAAAGTAGTGGGTAAGAGAATTAGAGAGCGATGATTGTGCTACCAAAGACGAACCATGCTGGGTGTATTTATACCGGTCGAGAAAGAGACATTTTTAGGATAGAGTCTTTGTGCTAAGCCGAGAGAATCTTAGAGGATATCTATGAGTAAATATTGCTATCTTCTTAGAAGTGTGATTACTTATAGCCCATGCTACTTCCTCGATTGTAGGAACTCAAGACATATAGAGGATATGGCTGATTCCGTGCTGGATCATATCCTCTTATGTTGCGGAACAAGTATGGTCATTCTCAACGAAGTCGCTCAAACTTCGCTCACTGCTCTGGAATAGGATGATGGTGGTATCACTGCTCTGTTTGATTCAACTCCGCTCGGAGCTATTGAGTCCATGGTCGGACTCCTAAAGTAATTGTATTCTAATTAGCCTTACTTCAGCCCTGGAAAATTAAAAGTAAAAAATAAATAAATAAATAAATAATAAATAAACCTCAAGAATAAGAGCAAGCAGATGATCTCAATCACTTGAGTAATTGGCCCTTGCTGAAATGTATGTAGTTGTAATACTAAACTATGCTAATAATGCCAAAATATCCTGATAATGCTACTAAATGCCAACAAAATGCTTTTCCGAACAATTCTGATATATTTTCTTCCCTGATATCATAGCAACTTGATCAATGTCCCTCCTTCAATAAATCCCTGGCCTTGGCCAGTTGGTCCTCTATGCCAAAATTGGAATAAGTCCTCACAACTATTCAATGATCAAGTGAAAATGTTGAGCATATGTTGTCCAATGATAAGGATGCCAAAGCTCCAGTCCTTTTTTAATGACATATAATTGTTATAGCTAGTTATACATATGCATCACTTCATGAATTCAGATAAACAACAGAAAATCAATCTCACTCGAATCTCACTCGAATCGTTAATTTGTCTATCCGAAAATCAATGAAGCGCAACAACAATTAAAACTACAGTACATAATCCGTCCCATTCATCTGCCTTCATTTCAAATATTCAATCACGTTATCGCATTGCATTGCAGCCAGAAGAATCGATCTGCCATCTTTTTCTCAACCCTAGCGACTTGAATCGATCGAGTGGATAAACTGTGTGCGTGTTCGCAGACGCTAAAAAATGATCTATAATCTACGATCTATCCTTGTCTCTAGCAAACCGAAGCGATTAAGGAAAAGGGATCCAAAATACAAGTGGGATTAACTAGTTATAAGAAAGTCAAAGTATTCGGATGTTCACAACGATCACCAGATCATGAAAAGACAGATTTCATGCTCATTAGGGCAGCTGGGGCATTCTAGTACTACCAGTGAGATGATACAAGGTTATGATTGATCCACTTCAATCTCAGGTTGTGGAGTTGAAACGTCATGCATGCATGGTGGTATGCTATTGCAGAAAGATGACTGACTGGATCAAAAATAAATAGAAGGGAATTGATTATTTGAAGGGCTGAAAAAATTGATGATTCCTGCTAAATATTTGAGCTTGATCGGCAAGTTACTCCAACTACTCACTTTTCAACTTGTTCCTATCTTAAACCAATAAAAACTAGGGTTAACTAATCAATTGGTTTTCTAAGATAGGAGTCAATAATATCAACTGTACACGAACAAATGAGATGCATACATAATCAGCTTGCAATTATTATGTTTAGTCATTATAATTAAACAGAATTTGTGTGCCGTGGATGAGAGGTCATGTGTTGTTTTCATATTTATTGAGAAAACCTACTGTGAAGAAACTTCATGCCGAACCCACTTCACCTCTGATGGCATCCTTTACCAGATTTTTTAGTTCTCTTGTTCCTTAAAATGAGGAAGCGATCCATTTTCTCTTTAACTTAAATAGTTAAGAGCGTTTCCTCCCTTTACCCAACAACGTCAATTCTTTCATTCTTTTAATGTAATTTTGGCATTGATCAAACTGATTTAACAGCCGATATAGAGGGTCGAGAATTTTATATTTTATTCTAATATATGGATAAAACCAATTATAATGTTGTTACCCAAATTATATCCATGAGCAAAAGTTCTTTTGGTTTACAATAATTATTGTGGATTATGCACAAACGAATTGTTGAATGTAAGTCTCACATCGGATAATTAAGAAAATAATATACAAAACATAAGTGTATGGTTTCACTCCTAAAATCAAGGCCTTTTCGACAAAACCTAACACCTAGTAATAGGTGATTAAACTGGGACAATGTATAAAACTAACTTTTGTATCGAAGTGCTGTAGAGCTAACTTGGTTGATTTAGTAATATGCCTGTAGTTGCTTGCATTTCGTTTTATTTGAAGAGGGGGATTTCGACTGTGAGATCAATCTCTTCTAAAAAAATGGATATCACTATACTAATAGCTATTAGTTACTAGAATAACTTTTCGCCACACGATCCGTCACAGATCAATGTACACTAACAAGGCAGCAAAAGGGTTCTAGCTATGGAGACTACAAGCCAGATAGACTGATAACACATAAAATTTTTATAAACTTGGATCCAATCTATATTTTGAATAATGATCTGCTGCAATTGCAGCAGAGTTTTATACACATTTTACTACACACGCATGCAAATAAACAAAACAACTGGAAGTGGCATCCTTGCTGTCTATGAAACATCAATCAGTATACACATGCAGTGGCCTTGCTGTCCACTATGCATGTGTCCTTGTTGTTTAGAATAATCATACATCCTTAACGTGGGAACCATATTCCAATCTGTAAAGTACAGTGGAATTTGTAAAGCACAGTGCACTGCGTGTGGAGCATCTTTAACACTCCCCCTCAAGTCGGAGCGTGAATGTCAATGACGCCTAACTTGCCTAGATGCGTTTGAAAAATAGGCGCACGCAGTGGCTTAGTAAACAAGTCTGCGACTTGTTCTCCCGTTCCGACATAGGAAGTTTTAATTTCTCCCCTTTCAACCCTCTCACGAACAGTGTGGCAATCGATCTCAATATGCTTTGTGCGTTCATGATACACAGGATTTGCAGCTATGTGTAAAGCCGCTTGGTTGTCACAAAATAACTTTGCCGGTTGGGAATGCTCAACACGTAAATCTTTCAACAAATATCGCAGCCAACTTAATTCACAAGTAGCTGCAGCCATGGATCGATACTCCGCTTCAGCAGAAGAACGAGCTATTGTAACTTGTTTCTTGCTTTTCCAGGACACAAGTGACTTTCCAAGGAAGATACAATAACCCGTCACTGATCGACGTGTAATGGGGCAACGTGCCCAATCTGCATCACAGTAACCGATTAAATGTAATTCACTTTGGGAAGAGAACATTAAGCCTTGTCCGGGTGCTTCTTTCAGATATTGGAGAAGGCGATGTGCTGCCTTAAGATGGTGAAGTTTGGGTTCTTGCATGAACTGACTGAGATTATTTACTGCATACGTAACGTCTGGCCTTATAATGGTGAGATAGATCAGTTTACCAACCAAACGTCGATATCGAGTCGGGTCCTTGAGAGCATCACTACCCGTTGTTGTCAACACTAAATCAGGTTCCATGGGTAGCTTGGCAGGTCTTACTCCAAGCAAACCAGCTTCCTCCAATATATCCAAGGTATATTTACGTTGGCAAATGGAGATCCCAGCTTTGGACCGTGCAACTTCGACACCAAGAAAATATTTTAATGGTCCGAGATCTTTAATTCGGAAACAACCACTAAGAAACTTCTTGAGTCGACTAATGGCTTCCTCATCATTTCCTGCAATGATCATATCATCAACGTAGAGTAATACCACAGTAATAGATTGTCCACAGACCTGAGTGAATAACGAGTAATCTGCACGGGACTGTTGGAAGCCAATTTCTTGAATGGCAGATGAAAAACGTTGGAACCAGCTGCGAGAAGCTTGCTTGAGTCCGTATAACGATTTGTGGAGTCGACAAACCATGGTCTCCCCCTGTTAACGATATCCAGGAGGCGGTATCATATAGACTTCTTCATGCAATGCACCATGAAGGAAAGCATTTTGGACATCCATTTGATGAAAAGACCAGCTGCAAACAGCAACAACAGTCAAGAGACAGCAGACAGTAATGAGTTTAGCAACTGGAGCAAACATCTCTTTGTAATCAATCCCTTCGCGCTGCATGAACCCTTTGGCGACAAGGCGGGCCTTGTAGCGTTCGATGGTACCATCGGAATGGTACTTGATTTTGAAGACCCATTTACAGCCAATGGGTCGTTGGTGAGGAGGGAGGGGAACCATAGTCCAGGTGTGATTGGCTTCAAGAGCTTCAATCTCAGAGTTCATGGCTGCAAGCCAGTGAGGGTCATGACGGGCCTCCTTATAAGAGGCTGGTTCAACCAAGTGAGAGATGTTATGGACAAAAGAACAGTGAGCAGGAGAGAGATGGGAGTAAGAAACATACCGTTGAAGGGGATATCGGGTGCCGGACATGGTGGAAGGGATGACGCTGCGCTGAAGCAAAGTAGCATGATGTGTCTGGTAGTCACGAAGATGGGCAGGTGGGTGTTTAATGCGGTCGAAGCGGTGAAGAGAAGGAGGTTGTGAAGGTGAGGGAGCAGATGCTGGCGAGGGAGGGATATCTGGGGGTGAAGGAGTGATATTGGCAGTGGGAAGGAGGTCATGAGTTGGAAGGGGTTGAGTTGAGAGGAGTGCAGGAGTGGGATCGTCATGAGGGATAGGTAAGACAGGGAAGTTGAGGTCTTTTTCTGGTGGTGAGGTAGCAAGGGGGAAAATATGCTCATGAAAGATGACATCACGAGAGGAAAAAACGCGTTTGCTATCAAGGTCATAAACACGGTAGCCCTTTTGGCCAAGGGGATAACCCAGGAAGAGGCAGCGACGAGCACGAGCATCAAATTTGTGGGAGGGGGTAAGGTTGGTGGCATAGCATAAACACCCAAAACCCCGGAGATGAGAGTATGTAGGTAATGTCCCATGCAAGAGTTCATAGGGAGATTTGTGGGAAAGTAAGGGTGCTGAAAGGCGATTGATAAGGTAACATGCAATTTGTATACTCTCCCCCCAGAATTTTAAGGGTAGGTTAGCTTGAAATCGTAAGGCACGGGCAACGTTCAAAAGATGGCGATGTTTGCGTTCAACTACCCCGTTTTGTTGAGGGGTGTGTGCACAGGTGTGTTGAAAAAGGGTGCCATGAGTGTCTAAAAACGAACGCATAGATACAAATTCTCCCCTATTGTCTGCACGAAGGGTTTTAATGTCACGATGAAACTGGGTTTTGAACCAAGAAAAGAACGAGTGCAACAAGGTTTGTGTATCTGATTTAAATCGCATAAGATGAACCCATGTGAAACGGGTAAAGTTATCTACAATGGTGAGGAAGTAATGTGCCCCAGAGTGTGTATGGATTTTATGTGGCTCCCAATATCACAGTGGATTAAATCAAAAGGAGCAACTGATTTTATTGAACTGGAAACAAAAGATGAACGAGTTTGTTTTGCTAAAGGACAAACATCACAAACATGTGTAGAATCAAAGATAATTTATGGGATAGTCTGGGATAAAGAGTGAAGGGGAGCCGAGGATGGGTGCCCAAGACGTTGATGCCAAAGTGCCGAGGTACGTTTGACATGGTGATCGAGATGAGGGTTTTGTGTTAGAGTGAGGTAGTAAAGTCCATCAAACTGCTTGCCCAGGCCAATCATCCTCTTCGTAGCCATGTCCTGCACAACACAAAAATCCAGGTAAAATATCACAATGCACTTCAATGCCCAGGTCAACTTACTCACAGATAACAAATTCACATGAAATTGTGGCACATGTAAAACTCCATCAAGAGTTATCTCGGGGGACAATTTAATGGACCCAATGGTTTCAATCGCAGCCTGTTCGCCATTTGGTAAACCAACAAAATCATGTTGGGTTTTAGTGTGATTATGGCTGAGTGATATGTGAGAAACATGATTTGTGGCCCCGCTATCCACGATCCAATACAATGTTGGATCATAATGTGCAAAATTGCAGTTGGGTGTATAGATACCTGTTGCATGTGCAAGGGGCAGATCGGTACCATTCTTATTGCGAAGGAGAGCCATGAGTTGGTTGTACTCTTTGGTTGTGAACGTTGCATCAAATTTGTTGGAGGTTGTTGCTTTGGTAGCTGGCAACGGTAATGCTTCAACATTGTTGGAAGTTGGAGGTGCACGTCTATTTCTGGGCTGCACATTCTTACCGTGCCATTTGTGTCCTTCAGGGAATCCAATAAGGAAAAAACAACGTTCGACTGGATGTCTTCTGTCACAGTAGCTGCATTTGAATATCTTCCGTGAATTAGGGTTGTTGGCACCATAGCCTCGTTTTAGTGCTGTCGAATGACTGGTTTGCATTGCATGGGCGATAGGTTCACGTCGATTTACCACATCCAATTGGCGTTCATGTTGAAGAACCAATCCATGGACTCGTCGTGTATCTAGAAGTGGGCTCATCATTAAGATAGAACCTCGTATGATTGAGTAACTCTCGTTCAGACCCATTAAGAACTGCATGACTTTCTCTTTTTCTTCCCTGTCTGCATGTGCCTTGGATCCCTCGCATTCACAGGCAATGGGCCCATGATATGATGCTAATTCATCCCAGAGAGCTTTCAATTTTGTGTAATAATCTGAAACAGCTAGCTGTCCTTGTTGGTGTTCGGCAATTTCTTGTCGAATTTGATAGATCCTGGAATCGTTTCCTTGCGAGAAACGATCCTCAAGATCTCTCCATGCTGCTGATGCAGTTTTGCAGTAGAGTATATTGTGGGCAATGTTGCCCTGCACGGATTGCCAAATCCAGGACAAGACCATGTCATTGCATCTCTGCCAAATTGGATACTTGGCATCAGTGGTTGCGGGATTCTTGATTGATCCATCAATGAACCCTAGTTTGTTTTTGGCGCTGAGGGCGATTCGCATAGAACGGCTCCACTGTCCATAGTTGTGTCCATTAAGAAGTTGTGAGACTAAGACAAGACTTGGTGAGTCTGAATGATGCAGAATGAGAGGATCAGATACATGGGGTATCGTCTCAGTTGGTATTTCGTCGCCCATGGTGGCTGTGTTTAATGAAGATGGACTGGTTATGTTTGTGGCGGAAGTAGAATGAGCTTTCTAGAGTCACCAAGATCGGTGCTCTGATACCATATAAACTTGGATCCAATCTATATTTTGAATAATGATCTGCTGCAATTGCAGCAGAGTTTTATACACTGTTTACTGCACACGCATGCAAATAAACAAAACAACTGGAAGTGGCATCCTTGCTGTCTATGAAACATCAGTTAGTATACACATGCAGTGGCCTTGCTGTCCACTATGCATGTGTCCTTGTTGTTTAGAACAATCATACATCCTTAACGTGGGAACCATATTCCAATCTGTAAAGCACAGTGGAATCTGTAAAGCACAGTGCACTGTATGTGGAGCATCTTTAACAATTTTCACCTCAAATTGAAGAACTACTTCGGTATTTTGTACTATTCATTCCCATCCGACCCCGGAGAAGCTACTAAAATGTCAATAGAAGTATGTGCAACTACTGCTCCAAATTTTAATCAAAAGCAAAACCGGAGACAATTTTTTTACCAGTAAAATTAACGTAACCATTAAAAAACAAAAGGTCATACTCCGAGAACAACCTGAAGAAAATGTCGGTGTAGTCATTCACAATGAGCACCCCCTGGTAGTCGTGAAGGCACCATTGGGTTACATATGCCTGGGGCCAACAACGCCTAGTACACTAATTGTGGAACCACATCATCGTAACCATTCTTCTCAAACTTACGGCCTATTTCCTCATAAGTAGCCAGCCAGTCCTTCGTATTAAAGTCATCGTGGGTGACAACCAACACCTTCTTGATCATCTTCTCTGGCTTCAATATCTTATTCACAGCTTCTTGGAGAATCAAACCAAACACCTAGTTCAAATTAATAGGTAATGAGAAGAAGTCGTCGTCTTGTCCCCAAAAGGGAGATGCGTTTAGACTTGAGATCATGGCCTTTTGTTTTATGGAGCTTAAGAGGTGTACGAGTACTCAAAGGGATGAATTTTCCCTTCTAGGGTTCATCTTTGAGTTGAGACAACAACATCCCAAAGCTGCCGATAGATCCCTGTCCTGGTCAGCCATGTCAATCAAGAGGTTACATACAGGCAAACAATTCTTCAACTTGCCTTTGTCGGACAAGTCCTCCAAAAGTGTCTTCCATGAAGTTCAGCCACTTGGCCCACGTTGGGATCGTCGTCATCATCCACTTATCGGATGATCTCACATGGAAGCAGCGGCATTGTATTTTTCACTCTATGTGTTCCATTAACGACAAAGACTGCAAGGTGATTGTAGACAATGAGAGTTGCAAAAATTTTGTGGTAAAGAAGTGGTGAACCGCTCTACCTACTGACCCATCCCGGAATCTTATTGTAGGGAGACATATCGCTGACGATCGTGGATATCTGCAAAGAGACGATCTGGGTGTTCTCACATTGAGTGTAATATTGCCAATGGCAGTCGAGGAGTCGCCGTTGAATTCGATAAAAACCTCTGCTCGACGTCTTGTGCCTTCCAGGTCCATCTTCTGAATTACTGAAAGCTGAAGGAGGTTGATTATGATACCGTTATCCACCATCATCCTGTCAACTATGGCGTGAGCCAGTTGGACAAATATCACCAGGGCATTGTTGTGGGAGAAATCTACTCCTTCGGCATCCTACTCAGTGAAGTCGATGATTGGTCCTAGTTTGGCGCTTACTGCCTAAACCTGGAAGACCAATCTCACCTACTAGATGTTGCCCTTCTTGAAATTGTTGGCGGCCCTAAGTACTCAGATTCAACGAAAATATCGTTGATTCGAATAGTCTTGGCAGGTGGTCCTGCGTCCACTTTTGTGCATTTCTGGGCTGTGCAGTTGGCTTGTCTAGGTATATGTCGC